CAATGGCCTCTCCCAGCACTTCTGTCTGGAAGAAAGATGCCTCTGCGGCTCTCATCCAAATGCCAGACTACTCAGTTCCTATCCATATATCCCAGTGCCCCAGCGCCGGAACTCTGAGTTCAACAAAGTCCACACATGGGCCCTTTAAGAGGAACATCTGGGCTCCAGAAGCCTTCTGTCTAATTCAGCCATAATCTAATTTGGTTTTTACAACCAAAAGTTATGGAAATATCTCTTCCTAGCACTGGAACCCTGGGTGGGGGGCAGAGGGGGCCTAGTGTGGGGCTATGACCTTTCACCCTTAAGGTAGCCCATTGTGAGCCTCTGCCCCTCTGACCAGTCTTGATGTGGCTTCTTCTTTATATCCTTAGTTGTAAGATTTCTGTTCAGCTAGATTTCACACAGTTTTGAATGATAGGTGTTCTCTAGTTTGGTTGTAATTTTGATGTGGTTGAGAGAGGATTAGAGTACTACATTTACCTATGCCACCATCTTGATTGGAACCCTTAAAATTGGAATTTTAAAATTAATTTGAGCTATGCTGGGAATAAGAATAGACAAGGAATATGACTGTAATGTAAAATAATGAAATGTATTTTTGGCTTTCAAGAAAAAAGAGTAATTTTGTCCTATAGTACTAAATCTTCTTGCTCTGTCTTTTATGTAATTGATAAGAGCTGAAATGTCAGTACAGTTACGGTAGTTTGGCTGTCCTTCTTGGAGTCTGCCCCATCCATAGTACATGGTTCAGCAAAAGATTAGTACCAGTTCAAACTGGGAGGTGGGCCTACCCTTCTCTCACCATTTTCTTTCTCAGGTGTTCCCCTGAGATCCTGCTGCTCTTATTACCCTGAACTCTGTTTCTTCAACCCAGTAAGTCTATAGGTTTCCTACTGAAATATTAGCCACTGTGCATAGTGCAAACTGCGGCCAACGATAAAAACAGGAAACTCACTTCCTTCTGTACCCTTCTTCCAAGTGTTGGCTCCTCCCCAATATCATCTTCATGGATCATTCTCCAGTACTTTCAAATAGTTGCTTTTTATACTTTATCTAGTTTATAAATAATATTTGTGGAACTGTTGGAGCTATTTGGTTATTACTCTAAATGAAATACGTTGTGTATACATTTTTACTACTTTGCATGTTTCCTTTTTTTCCCCATTATTTCATGTAAGCTATTTGGTGATCATTAGTTTTATAGTATAGTCTATAGATTATAGACTATGGCAGAAGAGTCATGATGTAAATAATGGACAAATGGCATTGTCCAGAGATGATGGATTTGAATCAGGATAAAATTGGAAAAGTGAGTATATTTTTAGATCTATGATTTTGGTGGTTGGAAATATGACCAAATGCTTTGACACAGCTTACATAAATAAGTGGAGTCTAATGCCCCTACCCTTCAATACAGATCATAGGCACCCAGTAACTAATTTCTTAGACTAAGTTGAAAAGCTGATTTTTCTTGGGACATCTGCCTTTGGAAACCTGAGTCACAATGCTAGAGATACCATGTGGAGAACCAAATGGAAATAGAATTGAGATGGCTAAGGTCTTCCAGGCCCCAGCTATTCAAGTCTTCCTAGCACAGGCACTTGGAAGAAGCCTTTGAGATGCACTCTAACCACTGTTTGACAGCAACCTTATAAGAGGTTCAGAGCCAAACCACTCAACTCATTTCTGAATTCCTGACTTAAGAACCATGAAATCATGGTGATAACTGCTGTTTTAAGATGCTAAGTCTTGATGTGATTTTTTCAGGCAAAATAGACACTTAATTTGGGGGGGGGTAGCTTCTTTTGTTAGATGGGAGCAGGGACTTTTTGTAAATTTTAAATGTAGAGTAAAGGTGAATGTGGAGTGAAGAAGCAGACTATATCGGACAATTATTATTTTTAGTCACTTCAGGAATGAATCCTCAAACCATGCTTTATTAGACCACTCATTTTAGAAAACTAAATTGAAATATTTTCCCAGGCTCCTGTGAAATTATGAAGGCCTCTGAAATAGCTTTTTGATGTGCCAATTAGGCTAGGATGAGCTGCAGTCTCTAGAATTCCCTTTCTAGTGTGTTCCTGCATAAGATGTCCTACAAGGGAGAATCTCTCAGGACAGCTCAAGGGCAGAAGTGAAGTGACAGCCCGTTTGTAGCATGCTCATACTTTTTCCAAGTTATCCATTCAAGTTATCATAGTTATCAAGCTATCATAGTTAAGGCACTGCTGGGGAGGGTTTTTCAGATATAATTAAGGTCTCAAATCAGTTGATTTCAAGTTAATCTGAAGGGAGGTTATGCAGGATAGGCCTGGCTTAATCATGTGGAAGCTCTGTAAGGAGGTACTGGGCCATCCTTGAGGTTGAGACTCCAAGCAGCAGAAGTAAACAGAAACTTGTAAAATATTTCTACATTTGAAACTTCAGCACTCACTTTGTTGCTGATCTGCTGATTTGCCTCATTAACATAAAGAAGCAGCAGTGTCTACAACTGCTCTCCCTACACTCTGGATCCACTTTAGTCTTCGTAAATCTTGGGTTAGCTGTGTACATTCAATTTCATGACAAATGTCCCTGGCTCCTTCAGGACACCTTAGTCACCAAGGTCAGCAGGAACAAGGATAGACATTATCCAGCCCATCCTTGTGGGGTTTTAGCTTATGCTTGTTGACTGTCATTATCAACTGTCTACACTGTCTGCAGAGCAGCCTGCTGGTTCTCTCTGCAATGGGGCATCAGTGTAAACTTCACTCTATCAAACTGCAGTGATTTGTGGTATTGTGGGTAATTTTAGAGCCCCGTGACCTCATTCTGCAGCCAGACTACAGATTCTCCAAGTTATTCAATCTTCTTTAACATGTTATCTAAAACAGGCAGAGTTGTTTTGTTTCTTCATATAAGAACTCCAACTAACATAATACCATATTCACAAACACGTTTGGACCCTTTGGCCATGGTCAGACTAATGCCCTTTGGTGGGGTGTATGTCTATAAACACAGATGGTTGCCTGAACTCATTTCTTCACAGCTTTTCACCGGGTCCAGTCCCCCCATCCCTGTCTCCAGCATGCCACCTGCAGTTGCCAGACAAGTTGGGAGGCTGTTTTGATGAGTTGGGCCATCTGTCATGGAGATCTAGAACTTCGCATGTCAGTACTAGGGAGTTGTTCCCACTATAGTGTCCACAAGACTCCTTTGTTACCAACCCTATGGATCACGACTGCTCTCCCCAAAGAGCACTATTACTTACTCTTACTGTCTGCCTGAACCAGTAGTACTCTCAGCATATCAAAGTGTTCTCCAAAGCATACCAGTGTACACTTGGTCTGTGTCGGCTATGCTGTTTAATCAGACGTACACATGTCCTGTTTTAAAACTATAAATGAAACCTTAAAAATAAATTAAAATGTGTATCTTACATTTCAAAATAATCCCATTTTAGACATGTTTTTTGCTTTGGTTTTATTTTGTTTTGAACTGTGTTTCATCTTAGTAAAGATCTATTCCTTTTAGTTTCATTAGTTTAGCTTTTTTTTTTCAGATACCACTGTGCTAGCCTTAAAGTTATTTTAACCATCTATTCCTCTAAATTTTGTATCTATTAGAGACAAATAATAAATACTTTGAGGGGGATAACTTTGAGGCTTTATTGAGAAAAACGCTTATCCCTAAATAAATGCCTTATACATAAGCTCAAAAAAGGGGGGTTGCCAGCTACTACCATTAAAATATTATCTAAGGAGTAATAATACTGTTTTTTCTAATGCTGCCTGTTCATGATTGAGGAAAAATAATTTAACTCCTGTTTGTTCTATGAAAATCTAAAAACAGGAAAAAATGTCAGTTTCTGTAATTAATAAAGCTAAAATTTGATTTAGCTGTTTTTAAAAATCTGACAGTTTTTGTCATTATATTAGGTCACAATGTATGCCATAAAAATATTCAATATTGCATGCAAGGATGTTTACATTAACAAAGTATAGCAGATATCAAAAGCTTATTAAGTAAAACTTTTCTGAAAAGATGGATTAAATTTATGGAAAAAAGTAAGTTTAAAACACCCTTTAAATATTTTCTGACAGACTGGCCCACAGACCTTGATTTGAATCTTTACATCTTCCATTTTTATTTTTCTCAACAATATTACTATATCCATCCATGTAACTTTAAAGACAGCCGGGCTTTTTAAACATTCTCTAGGTCAAAGTAAGGGAATGCTTCTTTATAACTGCAAGTGAAGTTATAAAGAAATACTTAACTCTATACACAGGAAAACCTGAAAAATAAAAACCAATTCGAGCATTAAGAACACAACCTGCACGTTACAGGTTTCAGATCTTACTATAGGAATTTCACCTCTACTGGAAGGAAGGAAAGAAGGAAAAAAAGGAAGAAGGGAGGGAGGGGAAAGGATTAAAATTAATATTGTTGGATTCTATAAACACAAATATTTTACAGGTGAGAAATTTTGCCTATTGTTCCTCAGTCAGTTCCCCCACCCACCCCAGGACTGGCCTTTTAAAGTTTTCCTAATTTATGAGCAAAATTTTCTGTAAATAACAATAAGTGATTAGTACAGTTAATGAACAATTCCTGAAGAACAAAAGTTTGTGATGTTTCCTGGTGGCATTTAGCACATTAAAAATTGCACTGATTTTATTGTAACATTGCAAAATTATAAATACGTTGTAAATAGTAATTGTAAATACGTATATATTTTTTTCTAGACATACAAGAAAATTCGATTCCAGGATATGTTTTAGAATATAAAAAGTCCAGAGAAGAACATAGGAATAGATCTTGTTAACTCCCAAACATTAACGTACTTATTTTGTATTTCCCCTTTTAAGCTTTCTATCATTTTAAAATGAAAATTATATCTGTATGGCTGTCATAGATGTTATGTGAAATAATGTGTATGGCATATATATAAATAACTGTCTTGCACTATTATATGTTAAACCGTAAGCTAACTATTATTACGAGCTGCAGACAGGAAGGGGCGGAGCCACAGGGGAGGAAGCGGCTGTAGACCCAGGCGCCGAGGGAGAAGAGCCACCGTTTAGTGCCCCCTACCCTTCGCCCTTCGCGGCCTGGCCACCGGTCGGGGTCTGCGGGGCCTGCGGTGACCCTCGGCGCCAAGCAGCGACACCATGGCTATCGCGGCGGCTCCATCTTCCTTGGTCCTCGGGGTCTCGAGCCAGGCCGCGGCCCCCACCTCCTACGGGGTATTCTGCAAGGGGCTCTCCCGCACCCTGCTCGCCTTCTTCGAGCTAGCCTGGCAGCTGCGCACGAATTTTCCGTATTTCTACGTCGCGGGCTCGGTGATCCTCAACATTCGCTTGCAGGTACATTTCTAGAGCCCCGGCTACGCTAACGGTCTGCGGGCCAGCGCAATGGCGCACTCCCAGGAGGCCGGACTGCGGAGCAGAGTGGAGCTGCGGTTAGGGCCTCCTCCGTCTCGCGAGAGTCCCCCTCTGCGGTGGCCCTCACAGCTCTCAGCCAAGCTCCGCAGACGGTTGCCGAAGTCCTGCTGTGACAAGGCAGAGGACCTACGGGATTTTCCAGGAACAGTGAAGAATTTAATTAAAGCCCACGACAGTATTTAAGAAGCTCTGCATCCTTAAAATTAGGACGAACGGGATGTTTTATAAAGAAGGGGGACTACTACGTTTTTCAGGAAAAAGATTACAAGTTCGGGGTTGAGATTAAAATGAGATCATAAATTTCGTGAAGATTGGATTGTAAGCAAGATATTGAATGACTAAGAAGCAAAAGATTTTAAGGCTATAATGGGGAAGCTATATATTAATCCCACAGGAGAAAAACTGACCATCAAATTTTCAGTGGAAAAAGAAAACTACTGGAAAAGCATCCTTCTAATACCAAACACTGTAAAATGCTGCAGGGTTTTGAACAGAGGGTTGGAGTGTAAGAAAATGGACTCTGTCTCAGTGTTCCTGTGAGTAGCATGGTTCAAGACCGTGGTGCCAAAGAGAAGAAACTCCAGTTACAGCACAAATCTTGGCTATTTAATGAATAACATTTAAATAATCATAATAATTTATATAAATGTTGTATATGGTCTTTTTTTAAGAGAATAATTATGGTTACTAGAAAGCAAATGTCAGCATTGATAATGAAAAAGTACAGTTTTCGTAAAAGTGGGGATGTTAAAAGGAGGAGGGGAAAGTAAATGGAATGGGAGGGGTGTCCTTATAAAGGGGGAAGTTGAAAGATACAGTCTCAGTAATGAGGAAAATGGTGATTTATTAGAGAATAGCCATAAAGTCGCTGAAACAGCAATGTAACACTATTAATCAGGGAGGAGAGTAGAAGAGAACAGCCGGAAGTCAGTAAGAAATGCCTCAAGATGGAGAGTCAGGTGGAGTCTCAAAAAGAAAAACTGAGACTACCTGGTGTGTTGGAATATAAAGGCAAGAGATTTTTAGTGTTTTGGGGAGTCTAGATAGTGGTCTGCACATTTTAAAAAATAAGAAAAAGCTGAGGGTGTTATCAACCCCAGGAAAAATAAATTGTTAAAAGAACTACACTGCATACATCAACTGCAAATACTACTAGGCATAAAGTCAGTCATAGTTATGTGAACACCAAACAGATAAAACAAGTTATTATGTAATGTGGGGTGCTGGAGAGGAGAGGTGTGTGTCATGGGGGAGAATCAGACAAAAAGCAGTATTGAACATGTTACATTTTTTAAAAACTGCAATAAGAAACAGCCAAGGGTTAAAAGTGGTTGTCTGGAGAAAACGGAGATGGGTAGAGAAAAGGTAGAGGGTTGCTGTTTCCCACCACCAGTCTAACAGTATTATTTTCATTTTCCTGAACTGTCTGTAGTTACTTGATTAAAAATGAACTTAAATAAATTTCATTTAAGTTCATTTTTAAGATAATTGAAGTGTACACCATGGGCTAAGAACCACCAAGGTGAAAGGATCAGGTTTTTTAATTAGCAGACCCCTATTAAAGTGCATGCTCTGATTTTGTGGCCTTAGGTGAGTCCATTCATCTGCCTCAACCCCGGTTTCCTCAGCTATTAAATATTTCCTCAGACTTGGCCAGCCAGTCTGAGAATTAAAAATAAGCCTGCTTTAGTGCTTGGTATACACACAATAAACTATTTGTTGTAACGTATCTCAACATACAAATAAAACTTAAAACTCACTCATGGAATGCCTGCTTTTCCAGTGGAGATTTTCAGTCCTTCAGTTCTGTAGGGTAGTAGCCCTGGGGGTGTGAGGAAGAGCCTCCAAGAAGATTTTGGTGAGAACTTTGAGCTGAAAAGAGCTATTATCTACCAACTATTCTATATTTTCACTAATTATGTGCAACAAACAAACAGCCATGCTCTAGGGTTCTAAAATAAGCACCCCATCCGGCACCATGTCTGGATATTGGTAATTGTTCTTCCTACCCTTCACTCCTCATCCCCAGCCGCACTATTGAGCATGTCCTCCTCTTTCTACTTAAACGTCCTTCGGTCTTCCCTACCCTACCCTCCCTCCTCCCCAGTGACTGCTTGTGTTTTGAGGCTAAGCTTAGATGTCACCTTTTCCATCAGGTTTTTCCCAGATACCTCTGACTAGTTTAGAGAGTTTGTTTCTTTTACTCTAAGGGTTGTGTTAATATCAACCTATGCCATTTCCATAGGTTGCCTTATTTTTGTCTAATCATTAATTATCTGGTTTTTTAATATGAAGTAAGATTTCTAGAATCTCCTTGGTAATTACATATTGCTGTGCTAGAGTGCAAGAACTAAGGTATTTTAGTCTAAAATGTCACAAATGTAATGTGATGCCAAGGGACTTAAAATGTGGGGCCTCACTATTCTCTAGATGCACTAATGTCTCAGCTTGTGACATAAAAGAATGTGATTGCTATCAGTCCTGGTACGGTCAGCTACAGAGACCACCCCCCCTTCCACCTTTTTTCTTCATCTGTCTTCTGTTACACTGAAGAAGCTAATGCTGTGTTGTACAGTCTGGAGTATCAGCAGATACATAGTGGGAACTGAATGAAAGCTCCTTGGTTTAACATTTATTCTTCACAGTTGTTCTTAAGCCTAGATGTGTATTTTTCTTCCCACATGATACAACTCAAAGTGAAGTTTCCCAGGGGAGAAAGCAATATTTTTGCCCTGACTAAACCAATTCTGACTTATGAGTAATTTCATTCCTCTTGGCATCCTTTCAGGTAACGTCTACGAAGCCAAAGATTTTGTTTGTTCATTGCTGTCTCCCCTAGAACATTGTCTATTGCAAAATACATAATAAATATTGTTGAGTGAATGCCAAATTAGTTGGTTTTTCCACAAATAGTTACTAGTTAATAAAGGAAGTAAAGATATATTTGCCCCTGATAATAAGGTGGCCCACTTAATTATCCATAAATTGAGATTTTTCAGTCCAGTGTGAATATTGATTGGTTCAGGGATTTTTCAAACATGACAAAGCAAAGAGGTGGTATAATTCTGATCAATAAAGAAAAAAACTTGTTTATGAAGTGTAACTGATAAAAATGATGGGAAGTAATGACTGGTAGAGTTTTAACTATGAAAGGGAAATACTGATAGTAACATAATTTAAAAGGGAATAATAATTTGTTAAAATTGAGAGTAAGAATACATATAATTACTTGACTAAAAGAGCATATCACTATCAGCATTTTTAAATTTATTGAGGTTTTATACCAGGAACTATGAAACATTATTTACATTTAAAATCATAATTCTCATATGTACCCTATAAGGAAGATAGTTTCAACTTTATTTTTCAGAGAAGGAAACTGGGACATACGAGGTTAAATAACTCACAAGGTCATAGGGACTGGCCAAACTGCAATTAAACCTCAAGTTTACTCCTAAAGATACATTTGACTGGGGGTTCAGTTTTGTTTTGTTTTGTTTTTAATTTAAGGAATTCTGAGTAATCCTGTTCCTTTTCTCAGATTTTCAAACAGAAGTAGTACCTAGGTAATAGTATCTTAATTATTGAGGGTTTATGTATTAGACTATAAATATTCAATATGACTTGATGTGTACATTCAAGTGTTTTATACTGTGCTGCCTAAAGTCATTTGGCCTTTCTGTGAGGGAGAGGAAGGGAGGGCATGGGGCATACGGGAAAGGACACTTTCTGTAGGATGGAAAGTAGAGATCAGATAATCATGAATTTCGAAGCTGTTCCTGTCACTGCCTCAGGAGGCCTGACTAAATTTTATTACAAAATCTTGCAATCGTATCTCAGTGGAGGCTTTTCTTGGTGGAGCATCAATAGCACTTGATAGGGTCAAGAAGAAGATAGGACTTACACATGGAGACAGAAAGGGATGGGAATGGAAGGTTTGCAGGGGTGACCAACCTTCGGCCCTCGGGCCACGTGAGGCTTAGGATGGCTGAGAATGCAGCCCAACACAAAATTGTAAATTTACTTAAAACATTATGAGCTCTTTTGTGTGTGATAACGTGTCACAATGTATTTAATGTGTGGCCCAAGACAACTCTTCTTCCAGCATGGCCTAGAGATGCCAAAAGTGGACACCCCTGGTTTAGGGATATAGGGATAAAAGGAGAGGGAGAGAAAAGTGTAATGCCAGAAACTGAACCTGGATAGTAGTCTGAAGAGAAGACTTAGAAGTTTCCAGGCGATTTGATCAAGGAAAGAACCCCTGCAATAACTGTCAGAATCCCCAACATTTGGGTTGGATTGAGTCACATCAATCCACCTCTTGGATTACCATGAGTGTGGAATTTTCTTACAGTTTTTACAAAAACACTTGATAGCCTGTTGCCCAATAGGGTTACCACCAGGCCATGTCATGAATCTTTGCAGCTGAAGTCCCTAATCCCCACAAATACAAATCTCATCCGTGCTCTTGGGGTCATTGAAAGGCCAAAGAACATTATTGAGTGCCTACAACAAATGAAAAGAAGACCCTGTGGAATTCTTAGTAGTTTCATTTGCAGTTCATCTGAGGATATCCCTTCCAGTTTCTGCCCAAACTAGGGTTCTGCAGCAAACATGAAATTCTTGACCATTCTTGTTTTCAAGTGCCAAGTACATAGATTTCTTCACAGTGAGCTATTGGAGTGCATCAATGAACAGTAAAGAGGAATATAGGTTATTCATATATTGAGTGAAGTAGATTGGGTATACCTTTTTACAAGAACCAAAATGAGAAAAACCACAAAACCAAAAGGCAGAAGTCACTGGTGAAATGCTATACCTGGAATGTCTTGGCTGTGAAATCATTGACACAGTAATAGAGACTATAACCAATGAATAAACAAAAATATTTAATTTGCAAATAGAGCTGTTCTTCCAGAAAACTTGTAGCTTTTTAATTGAGAAAAAGAAAACTCTTAAAGAAAGCATCTTAAACTGAAGTCAAAGAGGAATGTAATTAATAAAAGCCTTAAAATTCAAAGGTCAGACTAGCTCTATATGAACAGGAAAAAATTATTTTTAAAACTAATTTAAACATGGGGCTAAGGAATGGAGGTGCCAATCTACAAGTTAAGATAGTGCCTCTGCTTTATGAAGCTATATCTACACTGGGTCCCCCAAAATTGCTAAAACTGAAAATTGCCTATCTGTCACCTCTGATTTTTACTTCAGAAAATAACCACCCCCTTCCAAAAAACATATGGTCTAATTTTTTTCCGAATGTATCAAACCAACCATCTGATCGGGGTTTTTTAAATGTTGTTTTTTTTTTTTCTGGGCAATCCAGCACAGCATAGATCCCTATAGACTGCAGTAACCAATGCCGCAAAAGAGCGGACGGCGTAAGTGCAGGTTTTGCAGGTGGCCCCCTCGTGTCTACACTTCAGTGAAGGAGCCCCTGGCTCAGAGGACGCGAAGGTTAATCAGCAGCAGCTGACAAAACACCTGGGCTATGAGCATTACGTTCTTTGAAGTCTGTATTGAACCATCTGTGTTCCCACCAAAACCTTTGCTTTCAGTGAAGTCCGAGACAACATGACCTAAATGCTAAAATACCTTCTCAGGTGAAGTTCTAGGTGTGGGGCAGGGCTCAGACATAAGCCTCTTCTGACGTTAGAAATCAGTTATTTGCAACTCTCCTGTTCTCGGGTGAGGACAAACTGAAAAAATAAAATCCACTATTTCAAGACTATAGAAAAGTTTATTTTGGAAGGGGTAATTGGCAAACACCTATGACCATCATTTTTCCAACATTTTGGTCTCGGAGTAGCATACAATGCTTTCCAGACTGCATGGGACTACTTGTGGATGTGACAGCAGGAGCTGGCGGAGCGTTATGACTGAGGTCTCCAACACAGCCCCTTCCGATGGGAGGGGAGGCACAGGGCTTAGTCTCAGAATTACAGTTTTTTTAGGGAGAATGTACTACATTGGTCGGCACTGGCCAGCCTGTTACCCAGACTTCATCTTTTAACAGTCATTTTTTCTGTGCTACTAGCAGGAATAGACCTCTGCTTCTTAGAGCTTCATGTCTCCAAAACTGGTACGTGAGAAGTGAAGGCTTACTCCTAACGAGATATTTACTGCAAAATCCCAGCCATAAGAAGCAAGAGCTGTCCATAGTTATTTAAATCTTTTAAAAAATCTTAGTCATTAAAGAAAACTTTAGTAACAGTAAAATGTAAATCTTAAATGTAAATATGCTTACTTCTATTAAAATAAAAGGTCATCTTTAATCTTTTTTCTGAAAAGGGTACTATCCAAACCACACTATCCTCAACATGTGAACCTAATTATAGCTGGTATGATCGGAATTTCACCTTTCCTAAAGTAAGATAATCCCAGTTACAGTCATTAGGAAATTCCTTTTTATTTTTTCTGTCAGTTTTATAAGATATAATTAACATACAGCACTATATAAATTTAAGGGGTACAGCATAATGGCTTGACTTATCCACAGTAAGTTGACATCCATCATCTCATATGGAAACAAAAAAATCTCTTTTGCCTTGTGATGAGAACATTAGAATCCACTGTCTTAGAAACTTTCAAATATACCATAAAGCAGTGTTAATTATACTAAGTGTGCTGTACATTACATCCCAGTATTTATTTATCTTATGGCTGGAAGTTTATAGGTTTTGACCACCTTCATCCAATTCCTCCACCCCCACCAAGGAAATTTCTTACATAGTTTCCAGCATAATGAATACAGTCTAAACATTTGAGCCCTATGGATGAAATATGAGACAAATTCACATGGACTACCAAGTCCTGTGTAGGAAAAGGGACAGCATGGTTTTTCTCTCAAAAGGAGCAAAAGCCTTGGCTCACTCCAATGAGCTTTTATTGTCTTACTGGGCATGTTGCATGAAGGTCATTAACTATGCACAGGCTCACTTTAGGTGGTTACCTTATACAGAAAACAAAGGAGAGGACGCTGATAATCCCATCACAGAAAAGGGATATTTGCAAATGAAAAGGCAAAAGTAGTTGGACTGGTTACACTCATCCTTTGAAGGTTTAGCATGGTTTTTAGGAAGTTGCTTTGCAATAAATGTTCTCAATTCTGGGTGAGGGAGTTTTAGCAAAAAGCAAGACTCATAGCAACCTAGGTACATTGCAGGCCTGATTCCCCATGGGAAGGGAAAACCTGTCCGTGGGCGTGGGTCCTGTGCATCTCCCAGTGGGAGCTGGGCCCACACCACGCAGAGCAGCCTCCCACATTTGTGTAGGTCTGGATATACATGTGTCATCATCATTATTATCATAGATGCATCAGAGCACCCCAGAGCATAGTTGCATGGGGTAAGAATACACTTTACAAAACCCTTAGGGTTTTTATGCTCCTCCCAGCATCAGATGCAACCTACGGGCCCATCCAAATTAACTAATAACCCACACAAGAGCCAACACTTATTGATATTTTCTACTTTATCTTTGTTTGCTTCCATCACTGAAAAATCATGACAACAGTAAGCCCCAGCAAAGATTTCTCCATTATTGATAGTTTTTAAATATGTTTGCAATTATAGTCTTTAAAATTATTATGTTGTAAGCAGATTCAAAATTATAATATCATTAGCAAGCAGAATTTTACTACCTGCTGGCCTTATGATTATATACATTTTCAGCTACTTTGATTTCATGCCAATTATTTTACTATAAAAGTCAACTTAGCACAATATATACACACAAACATTTCTAAAACTTATACAAACATTGGAATATTTTTATAAGCTTTCTGTTTTTATCCCAGGTTAGTTGGTTATGTTTGTCCTCTTCGACAAGGGATGCTAGTGTTCCATACAATTTTTATGTGCACACACACCCTACACAAACTCGGTGTCTAGGTAGGATTTTGATCCTTGTAGAGGAAACATATAAGTATTATTATACACAGAGCAATAATTATTCAATTTCCTTTTATAAATTCAATAGATTTACTCTCCAATGATAATATCTATTCTAGCTTGGATTCCTAATGACAGTCTGCTTCTTTCTTTTAAAAGTTATGTCTGCTGTCATGAGATTTTTTAATTAATATTGTAAAAATATTTCACTTGCTCCAGCGAAGGGATTTTTATTTCTAAATAATCATTTGTCTTTCTCACATATAAACATAATAAATATTTATGAGGACATATAAAATCAATACACATTGCATCATATAATTTATATTTATATTGTCTGAAATATTTTTTGTTACTAGCAAGTGTTATAATGACAATGATGCTTTTTTAAAAAGTGTTGAGTAGATAGTTAGTTGTAGGCTATTCTAGGGCAAGTTGTGATGCTCACTAGTATCTAAAAGAATCCAGTGAGAAAAAGAGCAGTTCAAATGGCCCTTCAGTGTCTCCTCATTGACTTAATTCTCTTGGAGTATAGGAAATTCTGGAGAAGTCTACAAAGCTAAAGGTTTCACCCTTTTCAAGTGGCAGTTAAGATGCTGCAGTAGTCCCAGGGCAGCTTGTCTCAGCTTGCTGTTTCCCAAAATTAGGATAAAGGAGTGGCCCGAAGGAAACGTGATGAATGTTAATGTGTTAACCAGGTTGGCCTCCAGGTTCTTCACTGTAAGGAAACACCAGCCTGTCAATACGAAGGACAAAAAATTAAGTATGAAGAGGAGGAGAAAAGATATCACCATTGTCATGGCCTTTTTATGGGCTTCTGTGCTGAAGTCCCTGGAGCTCATCTGCACATTCCTGGTATGTCTCCTCAAGGAGAAAAACAAAAGGAGCAGAGAGGTCATCGACAGAAGAAAGGGAATTAAGTAGATAAAATGAGAAACAATCATGTTCTTAACATACAGAGTTTTAATTACATCTGAAGACCATGTTGAGTTTTTTTCATATCTTGTAGAGATATTAATCCAGAAACGATGGAGTAAATCTGTTGATTCATGATTAAAAATCAGAGAAAACAAAGACGCCAGTGGAAGCACAAGCAGCACTTTGCTAATTCTCCACCTCAGCCAGGCAAAGCAGGGGTGGGAGAAATTGGCTACTCTAAAGAAGTAGAAAATGCTTAGAGAGGTGGCAAACCAGGCAGCCAGGTTATTGGATAGTGTCCAAAAAATGACAATACAGTTTGCTAGTTTTTCAATGGTGTATAGATGTGGCCACAACGCCATTATAAATGAATCAAATACTGTTATCCAAAGAGCAGTGATTCTGGAGAGAGCCAGGCTGGCGAGGATGCAGTCAACCGATGAAAGTTTTTGACCCTTCACCCAGTCGATGCAGTTAACTAGTACAATGAACCCATTCCCCAACATTCCAGTTATTAATTCTCCTACTACAGCTATCAGAAGAATACTTTTAGTTCCAGATGGCATTTCTGTAAAAGGAATCCAGAAAGCTGATATTATGTTTCACTGATTGTTATGCTGTCAGAGATTATAGAATAATATCCAATTTCATACTTTTCAGATACTGTCTCTCTTGTCTTCTGAGAGATTTCTCTTTCGTTCCAGTTGTAGGTCAGAAACACGAGCAAGGAGATCCCACCTCACAGATCTTAATGAGAAACTTTAACATACTTTCAGTCAGCTACCAATTTCCAAACTGAACAGTAAATGTGCCCACTCGTCACTGGCACCCGCAGCTGTCTTCCACTTGTGAGGATGTCTGGAAAAGTAAAGTCAGGTATGCAAACATGCAAATATGAGACAGGCTTCTTTCCACTGATTTGCACTTGCCTTTTCAGTTGAAACACAATGCTACTTGGATTCAAGTTTCTTAATTTTAATAGATTTCTCTAAAAATAACCTCTACAATACAGGCATGATTCATTAATGTCACATAATGAAATCCATTTTTTATAAACACTGTAATACACGAAATAAGTGTCATAAAGGGGAGCAGCATAAAGGAGCTCACAGAGTAGTGTGAAAAGCAGCATTAGATAAACTGTTACTATTAAATGTGACAGATGTTTGACCAAAATGCAACTGTGATACAGAGGAGGGTGCCACAGAAACCTATGGTCAGTAGTTAATTCTAGTTTCATCCAGATAATGACAACTAGCTTGGGTCTGGAAGCTTTTTAGTATTTTTCAAAAAAATACATTAAAAGGGAAATGATATTTCAGAATGATGTAAAAGCATATGCAAGAGTACAAAAATCAGACCTCTCTTTAAGATTTTTACCATGACATTTTTAGCTGTGTTTTCAATAAATTGTTACCTATATGATTCTGAAAAAGCTATTATTACTTGAGAGTAAGAAAAATATAAGGTTTAAAAGAGCAAATAAAAGGGAACAAGGGTGAGAAGGAGTTTCTCCTTTTTATTAATTATACTTTTGGTAAAATTCATTGTCCCATAAAAATTAATTTAAAGTAAAATATATTTTAGTTTCTTTTTTTGCTTCAACAAACAAGTAACTCTAATACAATGATTTTTCAACCTTGACTGCAAATTGGAATTACCTAGGGAGCTGTAAGTTTGAATCCTGTATACTGCCTAGGAGCTACCCGCAGGGATCCTCACTTAATTGGTCTGGGATATATTACTGGCATTCACTGAGAGCTCCTGAATGCATGCTTTACAACGCTTAAACTCAGGCAAAAACATCTTTCCACCCACAAGCTGAAATCCATGAAGGTTCTTCAGGAACAAGTCAGGATTTTGCCCATTGGTCCTCTTAAATGCATTTACAATTCAGCCAGTTTGGACTCTGTTGACAAATAACCTTTCATGTTGGTCTCAGCCATCGATAGCGATACTTTGGTGCCTGAGGCACTCACCTGCACCCCTACTGCTGGTGGGAACCCCCAGGCATTTCTTCAGCAGAACCATTGCTGTGTCTGGACCAGCCCTTGTGGTTCTTATGATTGCAAGACCCACCTCAGCACCAGCCATCAGGGAATTTAAAGAACAAGATTTATTACTCACAAGTCCTGCAGTGTACATAGCTACACAAGGAAGTCACAAGTAGAGAAAGAGAGATAACGCAGACTTGGGGTGCAGCCTTTATTGGGACTGAGGGTGGGGTAGCAAGGTTTCTCAGGTTCACTCTTTATTGGTGAATTCAGAAAACTAAAAATGGATCTGCCTTTTGACCTGGCAATTCCACTGCTGGGATTACATCGTAAGTACCCTGAAACACCAATCCAAAAGAACTTATGCACCCCAATGTTCATAGCAGCACAATTTACAGTAGCCAAGTGCTGGAAGCAACCTAAGTGTCCATCAGTAAATGAATGGATCAAAAAACTCTGATACATTTACATGATGGAATTCTATGCAGCAGAAAGAAAGAAGGCACTCCTACCCTTTGCAACAACATGGATGGGCCTGGAGAGCATTATGCTAAGTGAAATATGCCAGGCAATGAAAGATGAATACCATATGATCTCACCTTTAAATGGAACCTAATCAGCAAAACAAACAAACAAGGAAAATATAACCAGAAACATTGAAATTAAGAACAAACTGACAGTAACCAGAGGGGAGGTATGAGGGGTTAATGGAAGGAAAAGGGTGAAGGGTTTTCAGGAACAACTATAAAGGACACATGGACAAAACCAAGGGGTGGTAGAAGCAGGGAAGGGAAGTGGGGATGGCTGGGGTGGGAGGGAGAGAACAGGGAGAAAGGCAGACAACTGTACTTGAACAACAATAAAATAAAATAAATACAAGTGGGAATTAGGATCCAGGAAGGAAAAAGTGGAGTCACTCAAGTTGTCAGTTACCTTGGTTACCCAAGACTCTCTAAATGGGGAACTTTGTGGTTTAGAGCAACCTGGCTTCCTATCTAGGTGTGTTATTCGTAGCTCTGTCATACAGCTGGCAATATATTTGTTCAAGATGGATGTCTTTGAAAGCAATGCCTCAGCAATGAAAAACTTAGTATCAGGCACTTACCCTACATAACCTTGGCAACCACAGAAGCTCCATGAGGGAAGGTCAGCTTTGTTCTCAATCACTGATCTATTTCCAAATCCTAAAACAGGGAGGGCTTGGCAAATAGTAGGTCCTCTATAAATATTTGCTAAAGGAATGAGTGCTAACCTAGTTGGTAATCCTATTGGAAACATAGAAAAAGAAGAAGAAGAAACTTAACTAGTGAAACAAGTATAAAAGCAAGAAAAGAAACTCCTTAAAAAACTAGAGGGAATTTAACGACATGTGTATGAACTCATGAAAGATTGCTGTACTAGTACTGACATAACCAACACCACTCTCCAGTCTTTTTGCACCTAACAAGAAGTTATACAGAAGCATAAACACTTGCAGGTCTAGCAAGATGTAGGATCCTTTTCATTATGAAAGAGAACTACTTCAGCCCACAGAGTTAGAGGTGAGTAGGACACTCTAGATATCGGGGCAGTGGAGTGAGAAGGCCCTAGAGATCTCTGATGTTTTTAGACATGCTCTAAAATGGTGGAGAAGGCTACCAGAGATGAGGACTCCACTGGTAGGCACGGTTCAGCAGCTGATAAAAGCCAGATAGCAACAAGTCAACCAGAAGACACTTAGTCATTAAAGAATACTTGAGTCATAGTTACACTGAAGAAGAAACCCAACCTGAAAGATGTAATGACAAGTATAAAAATCACAAGCATCATATGCTATGAGTGGGATTCAAAGCCTAAGCTAATAATCACATTTCTAAAAACTTGTAATAACTACATATCTGTCTCAGCTCCTGGACTAGACTGTCCTACATGCTTCATTTTTAAAAAATTTTTTATTACAATTTTTAATTTAATTTTTTTATTGTTGTTCAACTACAGTTGTCCTTATTTTCTTCCTACAACTCTCCCCTGCCCCAACCACCCCCACCTAGAACCCTCAATCCTACTCCATCCCCATTGTCTTTTTTCCATGGGTTCTTTATACAAGTTCCTTGACATCCCTTCCCCTTCTTTCCCTTGTTCTTCCTCCCCTCCTCTACTGGTTACTGTCAGTTTGTTCTTTATTTCAATGTCTCAGGTTATATTTTGCTTACTTGTTGGTGTTGTTGATTATGTTCCAGTTATAGGTGAAGTTGTATGGTATTTGTCTTTTACTGCCTGGCTTATTTCACTTAGCATAATGTTCTTCAGATCTACCCATGCTGTCGTGAAGGGTCAGAGCTCCCCCTTTCCTTCTGCTGTGTAGTATTCCATTGTGTAAAAGAAACATAGTTTTCTGATCCACTCAATTACTCATGGCACTTGGCTATTATAAATTGCACTGCTATGGACATTGGGGTGCGTAGGTTCTTTGAACTGGTGTTTCAGGATTCTTAGGGTACAATTCCAGCAGTGGAATTTCCAGGTCAAAACGCAGTTCCATTTTTAGTTTTTTGAGGAAATGCCACACTGTTGTCCACAGTGGCTATACCAGTCTGCATTCCCACTAACAGTGAACTAGGGCAAAAACTAAAAGTTTTCCCACTGAGATCAGGAACAAGACAAGGATGTCTACTTTCACCATTTTCTATTTAACATAGTATTAGAAGTCCTAGACACAGTGATCAGACAAGAAAGAGAAATAAATGGCATCCAAATTGGAAAGGGGGAAGTAAAACTGTCATTGATTGCAGGTGACATGGTAGTATACATAGAAAACTCTATAGACTCCACCAAAAACTACTCAACCTAATAAGTGGATTTGGCAAAACAGCCAAATCCACTTATTAGGATACAAAGTCAATATTCAGAATTCAAAAGCATTTTTGTGTACCAACAACAAAATATCAGAAAGAGAAATCAGGAAAATAAATTCTATTTTATTGATTATGCTATTACAGTTGTCCTGAATTTTCCCATTTTGTCCGCCTCTACCCAGCAACCCCCTTTCCCCCAAGCAGTGCCCCCACCATTGTTCATGTCCATTGGTCACTCATACAAGTTCTTTGGCTACTCCATTTTCTCTATTGCACTTTACATCCAATGGCTATTCTGTAACTACCTATTTGGACTTCTTAATCCTCTCCCCTCTTCACCTATTCCCCAATACCCACCTCCTATCTTGCAACTATCAAAATGTTCTCAGTATCCATGATTCTGTCTCTCTCTGGTTTGCTAAGTTTGTTTTTTAGATTCAGTTGTTGAAAGATACATATTTTTGTTATTTTATTGTTCATAGTTTTGATCTACTTTTTCTTAAATAAGTCCCTTTAACATTTCATATAATAAAGGTTTGGGCCCTGGCTGGTGTGGCTCAGTAGATTGAGTGCCAGCCTGTGAATCAAAGGGTCACTGGTTTGATTCCCAGTCTAGGGCATATGCCTGGGTTGCAGGCCAGATCCCCAGTAGGGGTCACATGAGAGGCAATCATACATTAATGTTTCTCTCTCTCTCTTTCTTCCTCTCCTCCCCTCTCTAAAATAAATAAATAAAAT